ACCTCCCCTCCCCTCCCCTGCTTTCCCTGTAATTTCATTTCTTCTCTGTACTATTGATTTCCTACTTCGGAGTTTTCAGTGCGGAGACTGGTGTCAGGATACATAAGCAATCATTCTCACCTGGACCACTGCCAGATCCCAGGGTAGGGAGGTCACCTCTTAGCTCACTGATCTCGTGATGAAGCTGGGCTTGGTTCTGACCATTTTCTTATCCCCAACGCTGCCCCCTTTTCCCTCCCTAAGTTCATTTACATTTGGAACTATTCAAATATAAGAGAGCTAAGGTTTGGCATTGTTTAAAGAACGTTGACGCATTCCGCACAATGGCCAGACATGCTCTTCAAATGGTTTTCTTTTTCGTGCTTCCTCGTTCTGGATCCACTGGACTGAATTTAACTAGGTAAAACATCTGGAATGACATGTGTATCTGTAGTCAGCATTCAAAAATACCAAGTGTAGTAAACTTGTTGAGTGAAAAATATTGTGTTTGCTGATAGATATGTAACGTGACTTGAGTCCTTCATTGTGTCATATCAGCAGTCGTGGGGTATTTTTGTCAGCTCTGAGAAAATTTCATTCATTGGTATTATCAAAAGGCTTTTCATCTTTGTTTTCTTCGGAGCACACATGGGTCAGAATATTTTTACCATCAATATTTATCTCCAACTTTATGATTGTTGATGGTAAAACCAGGATTCCCTAAATATTAGTTTGTTTTACAGAAAACATTGCTGAAGTGGACTGTTTGGTTAAGTCCGAGAGGGAGGGGGCGGCGAGCAGACGAAACGTAAGATGTACTCTTTTCTGTAGAACAGTCTTTCCCCCGCAAACTAGGAATGGAATAGGACCTCACACAGACTTTTTTTTCCCCCTGCCAACAATTTCTATGTCTCTTTCCAAGGCAAATGCATTCATCTTCATTGGTAAACAGTTGATCAATATTCTCAACACCGTCTCCTTGGAGAACATCTGTGTGCATCTCCGTTGCTTCCAGGAACATGTGTTGGTTCATCTCTCTGTCCCTGTTTAAACACAGACCAAGCCAGAAGCAGAGTTGGGCCAGGATAGCTAATCTTCCACTGCGGTTCAAGTCAGAAATATTACACCCTGCTTCTACTCAAAATATCTGTGTCGTTGTCATCTGATGTATTCTCTTAGTATACATAAGTCTTTGCTCTCTAAAAAACCTAATTGCTGGTGGTGAGAAATCACTTGTGAAGTATGCTTACCCAGGGGGTGGGGTGACAGCCCACATATTTAGTGAGTTACCACAAGTGCTGATTTCTCTAAGTTGTAAAATAAGCAAACAGAAACACTCAAGTATGTATTTTAAACTCATATATTTTTTAGGCCAAAACGTTTTCCTAGAGAAGTATTTAAGCATGATAAAGAGATGGGAGAAACTGGTGCCTGCCCAAGCCCAGGGCATGGCACCGAGAAGTAGACAGGTGGAGTCTGCTTTTGGAGAGCTCAGGGCCCAAAGGGAGAGCTGGGAATAATTAGGTTAAAAAAAATGGTTTTTAGGAACTAGGAAGTGTGATGGTTAGCAAAAAACTTAAATAGAACCTCATTTTTGCCTAGTGGTGGTGGTGCACGCCTTTAATCCCAGCACTCAGGAGGCAGAGGCAGGCGGATCTCTGTGAGTTCAAGGCCAGCCTGGTCCACAGGAGCTAGTTCCAGGAGAGGCCCCAAAGCTACAGAAAAAAACCTGTCGTGGGAAAATAAAAAAGCACCTCATTTTATATGTACATTTTCAAAGTACCCTGATTGTAGTGTGAAAAGACATTGGAAAGGAGATGATATCTGTAGAGATGGAGGGAATTGAATAAAATTTATAAACTAATAAATAAATGGTAAATATGGAAAAATCTTGGTACCAGACTAAGGAAAGGGAGGACAAGATGGTGGGTGGTTCCCAGGTCTCTGGCCAGGAGAGATGCTATTAATCGAGGTGGTAAATGCTGGATCGGGGTGGGGGGAGGAGGAACAAGGATTCAGTTGGGGACATGGTACATCTGTGATGTCTGCAAAATCTCAGAAGAAAACAGCCTTAAATGTGTTTGCAAAACGAATCTGGAAAAGAAGTCAAGGCTGAATTAGGACTGTGGGAGTCACTGGCACACGGCTGCTCTCTGCAGCCATGGCGATGATATCACATAGGGGTGAGCCGAGACAGGAGTCCAGGATTAGCTCTGGGATGCAGCGGACCTTTAAGAGACCTGGGCCAGCATGTGGAACTGACAGTGATCCCCAGCAGCTGAGGCCAGCAGCAGTTAATGTCCAAGAAAGCAAACAGTCACACTTGATGATCCAAGACCACATATCCCTGGCAAGTGGCTGTCAGCCACAATCTTGCTTGGCTCAAAAGAGGCCGTTTTATAAAGCTGAAAAATCAAACCACTGGATGGAAGTCTTCCTAGTGGAGAGGGGAGAAGAGAGCACTGAGTTGACATAAAGGTTAAAATACAAGTGTCAGGTGGAAGTCCTGGGAGGAAAGGAAAAGCCCCAGGGATCAACTTCCACGTCTGGGCTCTGCCTCGCTTACAGTAAATGGGGGTGACATTGCTTAGTCTGCAGGAGATGGACTTCTCCCCCGCTGGCTTGCAGGAAGCTAAAATGCTGTGGCATAGAGTTCTTACTTCTCTGGTATGTTTGAAATGAAATGAAATGTTGAGATTTAATGAGGAAAGTAGCTTGATGCAAAGCTGCAAGTTCAGCCCTGAGAAATTAGCACCTAGGAGTCTGAACCGCCTTCCCTCCCTCCCTCTCCACTCTGGTTTCAGTATTTCCCAACGGAAAGTATGTTGATCTGGGTACTGAGATTGTAGGTTCTAGATAGGATGTTTGTCGGCTATGCCAGTCCCTAAAAGATTCAAAGCAGAAGAGCGAGCCTTCATCTAAAATAGGTTGCTGAAATCTGAGTTATGTGTTATGTATCTGAAAGTGATGTGTGTTTCTTCTTGTAAAAACCAGATTGATTTTTTTTAAAGGTCTGTATCTGGAGATATAACATAAAAGAAGGCCCTTGGCCATAATGTGGCAATATTATCTGCTGGGGTACCAGTTCTTTGTGTAGAATTTCATCAGTGTGAATTAACGCTCTGGGAAATCATTGGAGAGACGGGAATAAGAATGGGTTACTGTTATACTAAAAATGGTTGAAAAGCTTGGACCCCGAAGTCGGGCTTTTTTCTCGCAGCTTTTCACTTTCCTTTCCTCCCTCTCCAAACGTACTTCAGTTCTTCCTCTGCGCTCTCACTTCACTTTCTGTAACGTCATATGACGCCTGGGAGGGCACCATTGCTGGTTGCACCAGGACACCCTTTCAGGAGATGCACAACTTTGTGTGTTCCTGGGTGAGCTCTACACACCAGGAGCCGTTCTGGAATAACCTGCATGAGACAATATACCTGCCGTGAATCCAGATTTCAGATGCAATGTGGACTCTCTGTGTCCCCACCTTACATGTAGCATGAAACCTGAACACCGAGGCAGTTGCTGCTCGTATATGCCCTTCCAGCCTGGGTTTGCTACTTCTGCTGTTTTGCTTCCTAATGATGCGAACTTTTATCAAACTAGAAATCATTTTACATCACCAGTGCCCTGAGGTATGCATCTAAACTAAATGGTTATATTTCAACTGCTCTGAGTGCATTTTGTGGCAAGTCCAGAGAGGAGAGAGATCCCTGAACCCTATGGTGGGGTGGGTACCCGGAGAACCACAGTTCTGAGCCTTCAGCCTGGAGAGGGAGAAAAGGCAGAATCGTAGACAAGCTTTCCTATTGCACCTAGCACATGGAAGGGGCATCATAGTAGAATAAAGCTAATGTTGGTTTGTAGAGCGTTTTCTCTATGGGCCCTAAGCTAGCAGCATTCCGTTTCATATGTTATTAATCTGTAATTTGTGCAACTCTTCTCGTGCATTAAACATCTGCCAAATTAAGTCACAGTCACTCCAAACGTCAGCTCCCGGGATCCGCTTTTCCGGAGTATGCTTTGCATGTAACGTGTTTCATCGGCTCATGAAATAAGTTTATTTCCTCAAAACGTAATAGAAGCCGTGGATCAGGAATAGCAGCTAACAGTGAGCTCTCTCTGGAGCATAACCTTCCAAAAGCTGACATAGGGGAGTGAAATTCAAAGTGGGTGGGATGGCTGAGAGAGCGATGACCAATGTCTTAGGCACTTAAGCTTTCTGTAAGTGGTTTATGAGAGGATTCTCCCTTGGGTTTACTGGGGTAAATGTGCCATCTTGCTCAGTATCATGGCCTTGCTATTTTAGCTGCTTTCATTCAAAAGAGTTTGTCAGTCCCCACCCCACCCCCCTCCGGCAGTGTTTCTCTATGTAACCTCGTGGTTACACAGCTTTCCTGGAACTCACTCTGTAGAACAGGCTAGCCTTGAACTCACAGAGATCCACCTACTTCTGCTTCCCAAGGGCTGGGCTTAAAGGTGTGTGCAACCACCGCCCTGGCTTAACTGAGTTTCTTTAAGATGCCTAGGTTTGCAGGTGCCTAGCAAGTAGGTATAGAGTTGACTTAAAATTTTTAATGGTTTTATACAATTAAGCTGGATAAAATGGTTTACCACCTCACGAGACAGATTTAAGTTTTAGATCTATTTTTACTTATATGGCTATGCATGTGTACATGTGTGTTAGTGTGTGCTACATGTGTGCTGGTGCCCAGAAGATATTTTCAAGGATGTTCTAAATATTAACTGCTAAAGAAATCACTGACTACATAGCAGAAGGCATAAAGGATTTTAATTACACATCAACCCATTAATTCCACAAATGAGAACCCAATGCGTAGAAATGTACAAAACATTGAATCTTTTTTTTTTTTTCTGAACACAGACTCCTATCAGTAAATGGGAGTCAGACTGTAAATAGTGAAGGAATGGGGGAAAGTGCTCCCTAATTCTTGGAGACTTGTGTTGTTGTTTTGTTTTACTTGCTGTTTACTAATCTTCCATCCTTTCTCATTTCTGTCTTACAGTGGCCACAGATGTCTTCAATTCCAAAAACCTGGCCGTGCAGGCGCAGAAGAAGATCCTGGGTAAAATGGTATCCAAATCCATCGCCACCACCCTGATCGATGACACCAGCAGCGAGGTGCTGGATGAGCTCTACCGGGTGACCAAGGAGTACACCCAAAACAAGAAGGAGGCGGAGAGGGTCATCAAGAACCTCATCAAGACAGTCATCAAGCTGGCCGTCCTCCACAGGAACAATCAGTTCAATCAAGACGAGCTGGCGCTGATGGAGAAGTTCAAGAAGAAGGTCCACCAGCTCGCCATGACGGTGGTCAGCTTCCACCAGGTGGAGTACACCTTCGACCGCAACGTGCTGTCCAGGCTGCTGAACGAGTGCCGGGAGCTGCTGCACGACATCATCCAGCGCCACCTCACCGCCAAGTCTCACGGACGGGTTAATCACGTCTTTGATCACTTTTCAGATTGTGATTTTCTGGCTGCCTTGTATAATCCCTTTGGGAAATTCAAACCTCACTTACAGAAACTTTGCGACGGCATCAACAAAATGCTGGATGAGGAGAACATCTGAGCTCGTGAAATAAGCGGTTTAGGTGAAGACCGAGCACTGCTGACTCATGAAGGGAAGACAGAGAATCTTTTAAAGATCACATGTATTTCAGAAAGGCCTGGCCTGGTGCAACCATTTGGACATTAATGGCAGTACTTTTGTGTGGCTTGTTGTAGTTGAAAAAAAAAAAAAAGCATATTGCCAAAAATTCTGGCTGAAAACGTCTTAATGAATGTCAGGATGTGGGGAAAATAGATAGTTGGGAACTCAAATGTAGAGTGTTACAAAGACAGATGCGTGTGGCTCCAGTCTCTGGGACTTTCTGTGCTTTAGGGAATTGTATTGGTGGCACATTGGATATTTCTAACGTGTACAAAGTTGTGTATCTTGGTTCACTTTTATCCTTTGCTATCTGTGTAGCTCTTTTGAAATGCCAAGGGCCTCTGTTGTCACTGATCCTCCTGAAGCAATTCTGCTTCCTAGTGTGCGCGATTCTTTTTGTTCTAGATAGAAATTGACATTCAGGAATTAAAACTGAGGCCATCGAATTGAACCCTCAGGAAAGCAGGAAAGCGCGCAATCCGAAACCACAACTGTGGAAATAAGAAATATGTCCATGATAAGAGCGTGCTTCTGAGACAGAGTTGTACTCTTTTGGATCCTTGGAGATACTTAGATTCTCAAACCTTGTCTTGAAATGCTTGGGGCCTAACTTTGATGGCATCTTGAACATGTGCTGACACACATTAACGTCCATTTCACACATAGGAGAAAAGAACTTTTAGACCGGCTTTGATACTGATGAAACAATAAAATGTAAGTAGTGTGAAGAAAAGAAAAACAATCTGGAGTTAAGGATGAACTCATTAGACTAATTTAGGGGAGTCGGGGGTGAAAGAATAGACAGGGCGTTGCTAAGTAATGTAAGAAAGATGGATGGTATTTCAGTGTTTAACAGGGCTTGATGAATAAAGGACGTCATTTTTTATTTAACTACTTAGGGTTTAGATTGTGTCATTTGCTACTTTGATGAGTGGACTGATGGCCGTGTCTGTCTCCAGCAAGTGGTGTGCTCTTTCTGTATAATTTTGGGTGCATGGATGACAAAGTAGAAGAACTGGAAGCCTACTGGCCAATTCTGTCATCTAGGAAACAACAGACCCAACCCCCAGCACTAAATACTGCCACTGCCACTGAGTCTGTTCTTGAGGACACTGACAGTGAAATAAAAATTCACCAGAAAAAAAAATCCCACAAGGAAAAATTCCAGAAAATCTGCTTTGACCCATCAGAGACTAGAAGGAAGTGGTCAGGTTTCTCTGAGGCTCAGTTTTGTTCGGTTAAGGCAAACAGCAAAGGCAAAAAGTATGTATACCTGAGTGACATTAAATCCTAATTTGAGCTGGGAATATAATTCTTACCTCCTGGAGCCTTGTAGACGACTGCTAGATGTAGAGACTGCTAGATGTAACACCAGTATAGTGGCTGCTGGTCCAGTACTGACTACTGACTACTGGACTTTGTAAATGCTAAATGGTTCATACTCAGCTCAGCAAGCCTTCCTTGGCCAGCTCTTCTCCTACCCAAGAGAGGCTAAGAGTGTGATTGGACAGAGGATCTGATTTGCCATATTCTCTTCTCTACCAGATCTTGCCCAGCAGAAGTAAGGCTAGTGATGCGGACAGCTTCTTAAATTTCTAGCTCAGGACATGACCAACAAAATACAGACCTCGGGAGAAATGTAGAGATGTCTGCACATAGTTGGGTCATACTGATGGTTGAGGGTTGCAACACAATGCGCGTGTGGACAATGGTAGCATCCCTTAGTTTTTTAGTTAGGGTTACTATTGCTGCGATGAAACACCATGAGGAGGAAAGGAATTATTTGGCTCACGCTTTGGTACAATGGGATTGAAGTAAGTCAGGGCAAGAACATGAGCAGGAGCTGACGGAGGGGTGCTGCTTACTGGCTTGTTCCCCATAGCTTGCTCAGCCTGCTTTCTTTTAGAGCTCAGGACTACCAGTCCAGGGCTGGCACCACTGAAAATAGGCTGGACTGTCCTCCATGATCAATATTTAAGGAAATGTCCTACAGGCTTTTTTACAGCCTGATCTTATGGAGACATTTTCTCAGTTGAGGCTCCCTTCTCTTAAATAACGCCAGCTTGTGTCACACTGATATAAAACTAGCCAGCACACCCAGGAAGGCCAAAAGAAATACCTGTGGAGAACTGGTTCAAGAACACCCTACAGATATCCAACACTGCAGATGCTGAAGTCCCTTAGAGAAAATCACATAGTGTTTGCATCTGTCCTGCCTATATACCTTCCTGTATTTACACGCCTCAAGATTACTCACAGCACACGTACAGTATAACTGCTCATTTGGAAACAAAACAACAACAAAATGTTTTGTTTATGGAATAATCACAAGAAAAAAGTGTGTGTGTGTGTGTGTGTTCAGTACCAACACTTTCTTTAATATGTACTTGTGTTGCGGGGGAGCATGCCTGTGGAGGCAAGGGGACAACCTGCAGGAGCTGGTACTCGCCTTCCACCTTGTGGGTTTGGGGGTGGAACTCGTGTATCAAGCACCTGCGGCAGATAGGTGCCTTCACTCACTGAGCTATGTTACTGGCCCCTACAAACACATTTTTTTAATAAAATGTTTTTCAATCTACAAATGCCAAATTCACAGACATAGAAAGAAGATCAGCCGAATGCTGAAGCAGGGAATCTTTGCTGCCATTTTTTTTTTTTTCAGAATTGTCTGAAAACCATTGCCTTGTTAGTCTTTTGCCTGGAAAGTACGCATTTCCATGTTGATTAAAATGTCATGATTAGCAAGTTATTTTCTGATGCATGCAGATTCTCTTTTGGTCCGTGTAGCAGGCTAATTTCTGGTGTGATCGGGTTCCTTCCCCTTTTGCATGACTTTTTGGCAAGAAAGGCTGGAACGGGGAAAAAAAATTGAACAAGCGTAGGGTAGAGAGAAAACTCTGAGCTAAGTTTGGGATCTTATGTGTCTATGTTTTCTAAGTTTCATTGTTTATTTGGTTTGTTTGTTTTAAATACAAAGTTTGACTTTGTAACCCTGGCCTCAAAATTATGATCTTTGTGACCCAGCCTCTCAAGTGCTAGGATTATAGGTGTCTACTCCTATATGTATTCTAACTTTTTTTTTCTAAATGGTGTCCTTTTAGATGCGGTGAACAAACGAAATGTTTTAGAACCACCTTTATTATATGCTGATGGATTTTCTGCAAAAAAAAAAAGTATGAGATATAGAATTAGTAAATGATACCCAATATTGGCAGTTAACATTTATGATACGGCTTCCGTGTGCCAGGCACACTCACTCAAAATCCCCCGCCAAAATCTTCATGACTTTGCAAATGAGGAAACTGAGGCAAGGGAAATTAAAATTTTCTCGCGATCACAAGTAATGCATCACAGCTACAGTATCAATGCACACTTGCTTGTATTAAAATGCAGCATGGCTAAAAGCAATAGCAAACATATCTTTGGCTCAGAGGAGAGCTTTTATGCCTCTGAAAAGATTTTGCAAACAGTGGCATTTTAGATCGAATTCAGGTCATTACAGATCTGACCTATTCTCCAAGATCTGGGTCTAATTTTATGCAGAGGCATTTCAGTGCTGCGGCATGAGTTCTAATATGAAGGCATCGTGTAGCTCAGGTTTCTGTCTTTTGTGGGGCTCACGAGATGAGGCACCCTTCCCCGAGACAGCCTTTGGTGGAGGCACAGACCTCCACCTGCACGAAGACAGCCCCTCGTTGTGTACCAAAGAGTAATATGACACCAGTTCAAAGCCTTGACATTATTTCCAAATAAGATTTATTTATTTATTATTATTTCCAAATAAGATTTAAAACATACCTATGTATTTTTCTGATTATTAGAGCTTACATATACAAAGAAAACCATGTGTGAGAAACCTTAATGATACCTCCTTTTGTCTATTCACAGTATCTCATTCGTAAATTTCTGGAAAGCCCCCCACCCCTAGGTGAAATACACATGTAAAACAAAGCAAAAGCCTACAAAGCTCAAACTTCTGATAGATTCCTGCCACTCATTGGCTTAAAATTCTAGGTTTTGTAGCTTGAACATATCAGGTTGGATGTTTTCCCTCCACAAGAATTTTAAGTGCTCCTTGAGATACTTGATGTGACTATATGAGCTCAGCTATATAACACACCCACCTGGACAAACAGATAAAGATCAGTGCATTTATCCATGGGCTGAAATATGTTTAGGAGTTCAGTGTTGTTCAGTCGCTAGGAAATTAAAATATTCTAATGAAACAGCGTGTTAACAGGAATAATAGTGTTTAAGTATGTCGTCGGCCTTGGGTTTCCACGTTAGCAGGACTTAGCAGTGTTTGGCTTGGTAAATTACACACCTGCAGAGAAACCCTCATGTGACTTAAACCCACGGCAGTGTTAGAAATGTTATTTGACAGGAAAAAAAAAAATACAACAACTTTATCCTAGCTCTGAAACAGTTTCATTTTCTGTAATTCAAGTCAAGATTACAAAACTTTATATATAAAGATTATATATCAAGCTGAGGGCTTGTAAAGATGGCCCGGAGATTAAGAGCACATACAGCTTTTGCGGAGAACCTGAGTTCAGCTCCCAGCTCACCATGGCCTGTAACTCCAGCTCCAGGGGATCTAACAGGGACTCTGGCCTCCACATGCACCAGCACTCAAGTGTATCTACCCACAAAACCATATGCACATCAATCTGTGCTTATAATCACCCATTACCAGCACCTCCAAGTAGTGAACATTTATGTCTCTTTTACCCTGGTGTCCTTAGGAACACTTAATGTGTGGCCCAGAACTAGAGGGACCTGTAACAGTCTTTCTTTTGGGCTACCAACCAGCTCCCTAATCATGACACAAAGATTCGTTAGTTATGAATGATCGGCTTAGCTTGTACTTGACCCATCAACTCTTACAGCTTAACCTGTTTCTCTTCAACTATGGTTTGGCCTCAGGGCTTTTTACCTTTCTTTCTTTGTGATCTACTCCATGTCTGCTGGCGGGCCCTGGGTGTCTTTCTCTCTTTCTCCTCTCTCCTCTCCTTTTCTCCTCCTATTTATTCTCTCTGCCTGCCGGCTTCATCTATCCATCTAATGCCTAGCTATTGGCCAATCAACGTTTAATAAACCAATCAGGCACCTAGGCAGGCAAAGCAGTACATCCTTACATAGTTAAACAAATGCACCGTATAAACAAATGTAACACATCTTCGCCAAGTTAAAGTACTATTCCTCAACAGGGACCATTTTTTACCTCAGGGAGATACGGAAAGAGATACTTACACGTGTGAGGGCTAGTCTGTCTCTCCCAAGAAGCATTTTCCACCCAGCCATGAGTTTGAGCTTCAGGTAAGGGCTACACTATGCCACTGTCTACAGAACACTGAGAGAGGATGTGGACAAGCCAGACAGCAGTCCCAGCCAAGAGGAAAACATCTGTACTTTGGAAAACACTGCGCACGCAGAGAACCTGGCTCTGCACTCACCAAAGTTCCATGAGACCTTTGTAAGATCAGGCAGGCAGTGAGTCAACCCATTGTCTTTCTTCCTGGGTGGCTCAGGGAATTCTGCCTTCTCTACTCCCAGCGCTACATCATTCTGGTTTTGACTTGTGAAAATAAAGTGACCCATCAGGCGCTTACAGTTTAATCTCAACACAGAGGAAAAATACTTGAATCTGGGCCAGTGGGATGGCTCAGCGGCTAACCGCACTTTCTGCCAAGCCTGAAAGCCTGCATTTGATCCCTGGAAACTTGATGATAGAGAGCACGGACTTTCACAAGTCACTCTCTGACTCCCACAGAATATGTGCACACACACATTTTAACAGTTAATATCTGATTTTTAAAGTAAGTGTTTTGATTCACAAAGTCAACGAAGGCAGTAAATGTCTCTACTTCGAGTTTTCCACTTAGAAGCAT